CTCACCGCTGGTAATGTGGCCTGGGTCGGGGCGGCGGCTGGAACCATTACTCTGGTCGTAATAGCATTTGAACGTTATTATACCGTCAGGTTTCCTGTCAGTGGCAAAGGAAAACTTACCAAGAATACAGTGAAGGTGACAGAATAGAAATGTGATCACAATATAACGGTACTAAAGTCGAGCTCAGAAGTTTACAGTTTATAACCATGGGCGCCCCCTTCAGAGAAAGAAAGCCTAATGAACCGGCAAGAAGCAAAAGTGTAGCACACTCAGAATCGGCCATTAATAACCACCTAACATCAGTATACACATTTTCTACACTATTCTGTATTCAGATTCCAAGATGCTGACAAGAAGAATTTGAGACCCTGACCCTAAGCAGTCAAGAGCTTCTTCTGATCATTTCCTTTATTCTCATGACCTTGATGTTGGACTCAGGGCTGACATTGTAAAGAGAAATTAAATGCTAGACACTCCTAAGGGTTAAAGGGCTCAATGTATAGAGCCATTGTAATGGGTCTTCTGTCTTAAAAAGAATTGCACCGCAATTTTAAAAGTTTCTCCTTATAGCACTAGTTAGGAATAGAAAACGTTTTGTTGATACAACATCTTTTGATATCTCAGGTTATCATTCCTGCTTGTTGGATCTTTGCAGTAGCAGCAAACATACCACTTTTCTTGGTTACAAAATATGATGAGAAAGAGGGAGACTGTCGGTGGAATTGGCCTGAAGACTGGATGGGTGCGGTGAATGACACCTCATGGCTTGTGCTGTTGGCCTGTATTCCTTTTACATTGATGATCGGCTTATACTCGAGGGTCGCTTATGAATTGTGGTTTAAGCCACGTGATGGTCCTGTAGTCGTTTGTAGGTACAAGGTAATGATGATTTAAGATAGTTCACCTCGTATCACAGAAAAAGATAAATAACTCAGCTAACTCGGTCACGCGGGTGGAAAGTAATCAGCGAAGAAACGGTGAAAGATCATCGTTGGCTACGTTTTCTTGGCTCGACTCATTTTCTTTGCGTATTTCTTTTCATCCTTGCGTCGTGCGATGCTAAGAAAGAGGAGAGGGTCTTAGACTGGGTATAAAACTACTTCATTTACAGGCCCGTATCAATGTCACTTCAACAAAAAGGGGTTGAGATATTATTCCTTCACCTACATGATATCTGGGCAGTCCTACCGAGAATTCTGACGTTACCGTTTGAGCTTCGACTCGCAGAAAATAACACGGCGCTTTACGCGTTCGTAGGGATTTTGTTATTATGCAGTGGTGGGTTAAACACTTAGGAACATACTTAGGCTTAGAATTAATAAAACAACTTAGTGGGGAGCTGTTAACCGAGTGGTTCATTCTATTCTGACTACACTCTTCTTTTTCAGGGAATAC